ATGGCATCCTTTAGTCCCAGGAGTAGGACACTCACTAATGGAGAGCTCCAAGATGAATCCAGCTGCAGGACACCCATCTGGTGATCCCGTGGACCACCTTGTGTAAAACGGTGCCTCACAGGCCCGTATGTTCTACTTTGAGACAAAGATGAGTTATTTGTATTGTTTCATTCTGCTCTTTTTAGGGTGTCCTTAAGAATCATATAGTCAAACCCTCTTTGACGATAACGCTTAAATTTTGGTGACTTTAACATTTTTATTTTTAAAACCACAGTTGTTACTTGTAATGTATATAGGTTTATCCTTTTATTTTTGCTTTGTTAGGACTTAACAGGTCTGGAACACGTGTTAATAAATTGTTCGAAAATGCTTCCTGCTAACATCACTCAGCTAAACAACATCCCACCAACTCAGGAAGCGTACTATGATCCCAATCTGGTGAGTGCCATGGGTTCTTTTATGTAAAGTAGAACGTATATCCTTATCGGGTGTTAGTTACATCATTTCTGTAGAGCACTTGAAAACCTAGAAGCAGGCTCTGTTTATAGGTCTTTGGTGGAAATCAGTAGCACAGATAATCCAGAATCATTCATATTTTTCTTTGGAATATCTTTTTTTCCTCCCTAATGGATGTTAAGCTAATACTGAGATTAGTTGCTTATATTCTATAAGCAGACATCCTGTTCACTAAGGATAGCGGAAGGCAGCGCCAGAGTATACTCACTGGCTTGGGAGAACAATCCTGAGGTTAAACATCAGACGGAATCCCATCTTTCATCAAAGCTCAGTTGCTTTGATGCTGGCATTTTTTGGATCTTACCACTAGGGGCAGTGGATGATCTATACACAAGTATATCAGAGCAGCATTTGGCTGAAATGATTGGAAGACTCTGTTGATATCTGTAAGATGCATCCCAGCTTCAGAGAAATGATAATGTGGAAAAAAAAAGTGCATTTAGAGTTGATGGACCAAGGATATAATACAGCCATTATGTGATGCTTACAGTTAATTTTTACTGATATATATGGAAGAATGTTTATAAAATAAAATTAGGTGGGGAGAAAATGGGTACTGCCATATACAGAATACAGTTTGAACTATGGAAAACTCCTGATACCTTCACACACATCCCCCAAATTAATGAAAATGACAGTAGGTTAAATTATAGGTAGTTCTTTTTCTTCTTTTTAACATCTTTATTGGAGCATAATTGCTTTACAATGGTGTGTTAGTTTCTGCTTTATCACAAAGTGAATCAGCTATACATATACATATATCCCCATATCCCCTCCCTCTTGCATCTGCTTCCCACCCTCCGTAACCCATCCCTCTAGGTGGTCACAGAGCACCGAGCTGATCTCCCTGTGCTCTGTGGCTGCTTCCCGCTAGCTATCTGTTTTACATTTGGTAGTGTATATATGTCCATGCCACTCTCTCACTTCATCCCAGCTTACCTTTCCCCCTCCCCGTGTCCTCAAGTCCATTCTCTACGTCTGCGTCTTTATTCCTGTCCTGCCCCTAGGTTCTTCAGACCTTTTTTTTTTTTTTAGATTCCATATCTATGGGTTAGCATATGGTATTTGTTTTTCTCTTTCTGACTTCACTCTGTATGAAAGACTGTGTCCATCCACCTCACTATAGATAACTCAATTTCATTTCCTTTTTATGGCTGAGTAATAGTCCATTTGTGTGTGTGTGTGTATATATGTTTTGGTTTTTTTTAGATCATGCAGCGTGCAGTCTTGTGTCCGGCTTTTTTTTTAATAACATAGGTAGTTTTCATATAAATTTATTTATTTATTTTTGGCTGCATTTGGGTCTTTGTTGCTGCACGCGGGCTTTTCTCTAGTTGCAGCCAGCAGGGGCTACTCTTTGTTGCGGTCCGCAGGCTTCTCATTGGGTAGCTTCTCTTGTTGCAGAGCATGGCCTCTAGGTGCATGGGCTTCAGTAGTTGTGCCACTCGGGCTCAGTAGTTGTGGCACTTGGGCTCAGTAGTTGTGGCGCAGGGGCTTAGTTGCTCTGCGGCATGTGGGATCTTCCTGCACCAGGGCTTGAACCCATGTCCCCTGCATTAGCAGGCGGATTCTTAACCACTGAGTCACCATGGGAATCCCCATAGGTAGTTCTTAATATCGTTTTTTCACACTAGTATTTTCCATATTTTCTATAATGAATAGAGTACACTTTCATAAGCATAATAACATGTATTTTTTAAAAACTGACCATCTTGCAAATGTTCAAGCCCTATAATTAACTGCAGATGTTTGTAAATGAATGTAGAGAAGAGTAATGAATCAGTTAAAAATCTGATTCCTGAAAGAAGGCAGTCATTCCTTTGGCATTCATTGCACACGGCAGGGATGGTATTTCTCACTTGTGTTCTCGGAGGGTCCTGGGAAGCTCCCTCATGAGGAGACAGTGTGAGGGGCAGCCCAGCAGCTTTAGGAACCCGTAGACAAACTGTAAGTATTGCTGATCATGCGTTGGTTAGTTTAGCAGATGACATGGGTTTGTATACAAATGTGTCACTTAAAGCCAGTATTCTATATATTTTAAAACTTAAAACTATGAAATCAACAAAACTGAGGTAGAGGTATAAGACCTGGTGTCAGCCCTAAGGGATTTTCCTCTAGTGGGGTAAACAGGCATGAATCAGCAGGTGGAGACTAGTCCTGGGTTGCGGGTTCTCGGGAGGCCTCGCATGGAGCTGATGCGCAGTCAGGCTGATGGGAGAATGGCAGCTTGTCTTGTGAGCTGCAGCAGCTTCTTCTGGGTCTTTGGCGCAATCCAGTAAAAATGCTTTGTCAGACCCAGACTGTTATACAGAGATGGTAGTAGTTCTTTACAAGCGTGTTCTTAATGATTAAAAAGGCACATCTGTAATCACTGTAGGTGTGTTCCCTGCCTCCAGAGAGAATAGAATCAAAGTTAAAAAAAAAAAAGTAGATTGCATAGGCTAAAAGACATTCTCAGTTGTAGGACTTTTCAAACAATGATAAAGCTCTTTTCTGTTTCCCCCCAATTTGGAGTTACCCCAACAAAGCTAATATAGTCAACTCTAAATCATCCAGAGGTCAGTGTCCTGGTTTAAACACTTTTTTTATGTATTTGTCAAAATCAAGTTCTACCAGTTATCAGAGATCTGGGTACACCCTTTCTCCAGGAGGGGAACAGTGAGCCGAGGGTTCCAGGCTGCCCTGACTTGTCTTTTCTGGTATCTTCTTGGTGGGCAAACCCAGAGCACTGGACAGAGGAGGAAGAAAGGAGAAAGTGTGCTGGGCTCCTAAACCATCTCCACTCAGCCTCTCCCCTGGACCAGGCCTCTCTGGTCTTTACTGTCTTCGGGACCACATTGTGATCGTACTGACAGGTTGCCTTAGAGGCTACTGACGTCACCCCAGGTCCAGGGAGCTTTGCGAGTGGCTCAGCCTGTTTCAGTGCTCGCTCCAGACTTGTCTTTCACCATCTGTATTTCCACATCCGTCCTTTCACTTGTCTGTCTTTCCTTCTCTATAAACTTTGGTTTCCTAGTCAGATTTTACAATTACCAACCCCTTGCACTGGTATAGAACTTGGAGAAGAGTGTTCTTTTCTAAGGAAGATGATCTATGCGTAGAAAACAGTTATTCATCTTTCCCTTTTACAGGCACGATGAAAGGTTCTTGAGGGATTTTAGGGCTTTTTTTTAAAGAAATGCACACATATTCATCTATTAGAGTATTTTACTGTTTTACCAAATATCTGGCATGAGGTTTAGAATCAGCAAATATCCTTTGAACGCTAAGGATTAAGTAAGTAGGGGCTGCTTTGCTAATGGTTATAAGTTAGTCTTCAGGCTTATGCAAATAAAGCTGTTTAGAGCATAAGTACTAATTATACAGACAGCATTAGTTAACATTACTCGAGTGAACTCTTAGCCAAGGTGTTGGCTTCATTACTGTAATTAACTGTGATTACACACAGGATAAAGTATTTTCTAATTAGACTATAAGAATGACAGCTTAGCTTATGAGTATCATATAGACCACTTCATTACAGTTTATCTTCGAAATTTATTTTCATTTTGAAAAAATTATAGCAATCACTTATAAGACTGTTTTAACAGATAGTGTGTAGTAATGTGTGATTAAAATAAAACTTTATTCACAATAACAGGCAATTAGCATGCGGGCCATAGTATGCCAATTTGATTTTTAAGAATATTACATTAAAATAGTCATCTTGGGCTTCCCTGGTGGTGCAGTGGTTGAGAGTCCGCCTGCCGATGCAGGGGACACGGATTCGTGACCCGGTCCGGGAAGATCCCACATGCCGCAGAGCGGCTGGGCCCATGAGCCATGGCCACTGAGCCTGCGCGTCCGGAGCTTGTGCTCCACAACGGGAGAGGCCACAACAGTGAGAGGCCCGCGTACCGCAAAAAAAAAAAAAAAAAAAAAAGTCATCTTAATTAGTGAGTCTTTCTGTGCCCCCTTAAATTTTGCACCTGAGATGATGCTTCAGTTGCCTCACCCTAGTCTTTGCCCTGATATAATGTCTGTATTTTCTCGCAGCCACCAGTCACTAAAAGTCTAGTAACCAACTGTAAACCAGTAACTGATAGAATCCACAAAGCATATAAGGACAAAAACAAATATAGGTAAGTACTACATACATTTTCTCTTTGTTTAATTTAAGGATAATTATGAGTGGTATTTTCATAATTTTACCACAGTTTATCTATTAAGCATTCTTTGAAATTTATGTGAGATTTTCTTTAGTAATATGGAAAAATTAAGTCATTCCAAGGATGCTGATTTTTTTAAAGTTTTATAAAATGCTTTTCTTATTGAAATTTTATTTTACATATCCACATAAATATTTAAACTCTTTAAATATGTTTTGATATTAGATTTGAAATCATGGGAGAAGAAGAAATTGCTTTTAAGATGATTCGTACCAATGTTTCTCATGTGGTTGGCCAGTTGGATGATATAAGAAAAAACCCCAGGTACTGTTGTTGTTGTTGTTTGTTGTCATTGTTTTTAATTTAGAACATTTTAGGTTCACAGCGCAATTGAATAGAAAGTATGGAGGAAAAAAAGCAGTAGGACTAGAGAAACGGGAGTGGCTTATTTCTGTTTGGAGCAGACGGAAATGTCTAACGGTAGAGGTAGTGTTTGAACCGAGAGATGGGAGTTGTAAGTTGAGATCGGGCCCCACGCGCACAGGGACTAGCACGGACATCTGAGTCCAGTGACAGGACTGTTCAGTGAGGCTGAGGGCTGGGCTGAGGGGCGGACAGCATCATCGGGGAGGTGAGGCCAGACGGCTAGCACTCTCAGAGCATTTCTAAAAAGGTGCTACCAGAGAAGTTGTTTTGGTGGTTAGACCTGCAGTTCAAAGTAAAGTTCAAATTAGCTTCTGAGGAAAAAGGAATGCTACCATAAATGTGAAAAGCCAGTAAACTGCAGTCATTCCTTGGGGATAAATTCAATGTTCAGGTTTACATAAACCTTGAAAATTTCCAGCCTGGCCCCCTAACAGTTGCCCTAGTTGGAAAAAATTGGTTAAAATCTGCATTTTTGAGTTTTGAACTTTAGTGGGAAATAGGTGTTTCAGTTTCAGTAGTTTCTCAGAAAAAAACCCTTGGCTTATAAAATTGAATATTTTTTTTAACATCTTTATTGGAGTATAATTGCTTTACAATGGTATGTTAGTTTCAGCTTCACAACAAAATGAATCAGTTATATATATACATATGTTCCCATATCTCTTCCCGCTTGCGTCTCCCTCCCCCCCACCCTCCCTATCCCACCGCTCCAGGCGGTCACAAAGCACCGAGCTGATCTCCCTGTGCTATGCGGCTGCTTCCCACTAGCTATCTACCTTACGTTTGGTAGTGTACATATGTCCATGCCTCTCTCTCGCTTTGTCACCGTTTACCCTTCCCCCTCCCCATAGCCTCAAGTCCATTCTCTAGTAAGTCTGTGTCTTTATTCCTGTTTCACCCCTAGGTTTTTCATGACATTTTTTTTTCTTAAATTCCATATATATGTGTTAGCATACGGTATTTGTCTCTCTCTTTCTGACTTACTTCACTCTGTATGACAGACTCTAGGTCTAACCACCTCATTACAAATAGCTCAATTTCGTTTCTTTTTATGGCTGAGTAATATTCCATTGTATATATGTGCCACATCTTCTTTATCCATTCATCCGATGATGGACACTTAGGTTGCTTCCATCTCCTGGCTATTGTAAATAGAGCTGCAATGAACATTTTGGTACATGACTCTTTATGAATTATGGTTTTCTCAGGGTATATGCCCAGTAGTGGGATTGCTGGGTCGTATGGTAGTTCTATTTGTAGTTTTTTAAGGAACCTCCATACTGCTCTCCACAGTGGCTGTATCAATTTACATTCCCACCAACAGTGCCAGAGGGTTCCCTTTTCTCCGCACCCTCTCCAGCATTTATTGTTTCTAGATTTTTTGATGATGGCCATTCTGACTGGTGTGAGATGATATCTCATTGTAGTTTTGATTTGCATTTCTCTAATGATTAGTGATGTTGAGCATTCTTTCATGTGTTTGTTGGCACTCATTGTATATCTTCTTTGGAGAAATGTCTATTTAGGTCTTCTGCCCATTTTTGGATTGGGTTGTTTGTTTTTTTGTTATTAAGCTGCATGAGCTGCTTACAAATTTTGGAGCTTAATCCTTTGTCAGTTGCTTCATTTGCAAATATTTTCTCCCATTCTGAGGGTTGTCTTTTGGTCTTCTTTATGGTTTCCTTTGCTGCGCAAAAGCTTTTAAGTTTCATTAGGTCCCATTTGTTTACTTTTGTTTTTATTTCCATTTCTCTAGGAGGTGGGTCAAAAAGGACCTTGCTGTGATTTATGTCATACAGTGTCCTGCCTATGTTTTCCTCTAAGAGTTTGATAGTTTCTGGCCTTACATTTAGGTCTTTAATCCATTTTGAGCTTATTTTTGTGTATGGTGTTAGGGAGTGATCTAATCTCATACTTTTACATGTAGCTGTCCAGTTTTCCCAGCACCACTTATTGAATAGGCTGTCCTTTCTCCACTGTACATTCCTGCCTCCTTTGTCAAAGATAAGGTGACCATATGTGTGTGGGTTTATCTCTGGGCTTTCTATCCTGTTCCATTGATCTATATTTCTGTTTTTGTGCCAGTACCATACTGTCTTGATTACTGTAGCTTTGTAGTATAGTCTGAAGTCAGGAAGCCTGATTCCTCCAGCTCCGTTTTTCGTTCTCAAGATTGCTTTGGCTATTCGGGGTCTTTTGTGTTTCCATACAAATTGTGAAATTTTTTGTTCTAGTTCTGTGAAAAATGCCAGTGGTAGTTTGATAGGGATTGCATTGAATCTGTAGATTGCTTTGGGTAGTAGAGTCATTTTCACAATGTTGATTCTTCCAATCCAAGAACATGGTATATCTCTCCATCTATTTGTATCATCTTTAATTTCTTTCATCAGTGTCTTATAATTTTCTGCATACAGGTCTTTTGTCTCCTTAGGTAGGTTTATTCCTAGATATTTTATTCTTTTTGTTTTTGTATCCTGCTACTTTACCAAATTCATTGATTAGCTCTAGTAGTTTTCTGGTGGCATTTTTAGGATTCTCTATGTATAGTATCATGTCATCTGCAAACAGTGACAGCTTTACTTCTTCTTTTCCAATTTGGATTCCTTTTATTTCCTTTTCTTCTCTGATTGCTGTGGCTAAAACTTCCAAAACTATGTTGAATAAGAGTGGTGAGAGTGGGCAACCTTGTCTTGTTCCTGTTCTTAGTGGAAATGTTTTCAGTTTTTCACCATTGAGGACGATGTTGGCTGTGGGTTTGTCATATATGGCCTTTATTATGTTGAGGAAAGTTCCCTCTATGCCTACTTTCTGCAGGGTTTTTATCATAAATGGGTGTTGAATTTTGTCAGAAGCTTTCTCTGCATCTATTGAGATGATCAGATGGTTTTTCTCCTTCAATTTGTTAATATGGTGTATCACGTTGATTGATTTGCGTATATTGAAGAATCCTTGCATTCCTGGAATAAACCCCACTTGATCATGGTGTATGATCCGTTTAATGTGCTGTTGGATTCTGTTTGCTAGTATTTTGTTGAGGATTTTTGCATCTGTGGTCATAAGTGATATTGGCCTGTAGTTTTCTTTCTTTGTGACATCCTTGTCTGGTTTTGGTATCAGGGTGATGGTGGCCTCCTAGAATGAGTTGGGGAGTGTTCCTCCCTCTGCTATATTTTGGAAGAGTTTGAGAAGGAGAGGTGATAGCTCTTCTCTAAATGTTTGATAGAATTCGCCTGTGAAGCCATCTGGTCCTGGGCTTTTGCTTGTTGGAAGATTTTTAATCACAGTTTCAATTTCAGTGCTTGTGATTGGTCTGTTCATATTTTCTATTTCTTCCTGATTCAGTCTTGGCAGGTTGTGCCTTTCTAAGAATTTGTCCATTTCTTCCAGGTTGTCCATTTTATTGGCATAGAGTTGCTTGTAGTAATCTCTCATGATCTTTTGTATTTCTGCAGTGTCAGTTGTTACTTCTCCTTTTTCATTTCTAATTCTATTGATTTGAGTCTTCTCCCTTTTTTTCTTGATGAGTCTGGCTAATGGTTTATCAATTTTGTTTATCCTTTCAAAGAACCAGCTGTTAGTTTTATTGATCTTTGCTATCGTTTCCTTCATTTCTTTTTCATTTATTTCTGATCTGATTTTTATGATTTCTTTCCTTCTGCTAACTTTGGGTTTTTTTTGTTCTTTCTCTAATTGCTTTAGGTGCAAGGTTAGGTTGTTTATTCGAGATGTTTCCTGTTTCTTAAGGTAGGATTGTATTGCTATAAACTTCCCTCTTAGAACTGCTTTTGCTGCATCCCATAGATTTTGAGTCCTCGTGTTTCCATTGTCATTTGTTTCTAGGTATTTTTTGATTTCCTCTTTGATTTCTTCAGTGATCACTTCGTTATTAAGTAGTGTATTGTTTAGCCTCCATGTGTTTGTATTTTTTACAGATCTTTTCCTGTAATTGATATCGAGTCTCATAGTGTGGTCGGAAAAGATACTTGATACAATTTCAATTTTCTTAAATTTACCAAGGCTTGATTTGTGACCCAAGATATGATCTATCCTGGAGAATGTTCCATGAGCACTGGAGAAAAATGTGAATTCTGTTGTTTTTGGATGGAATGTCCTATAAATATCAATTAACTCCATCTTGTTTAATGTATCATTTAAAGCTTGTGTTTTCTTATTTATTTTCATTTTGGATGATCTGTCCATTGGTGAAAGTGGGGGGGGTTAAAGTCCCCTACTATGAATGTGTTACTGTCGATTTCCCCTTTTATGGCTGTCAGTATTTGCCTTATGTATTGAGGTGCTCCTATGTTGGGTGCATAAATATTTACAATTGTTATATCTTCTTCTTGGATTGATCCCTTGATCATTATGTAGTGTCCTTCTTTGTCTCTTCTAATAGTCTTTGTTTTAAAGTCTATTTTGTCTGATATGAGAATTGCTACTCCAGCTTTCTTTTGGTTTCCATTTGCATGAAATACCTTTTTCCATCCCCTTACTTTCTGTCTGTATGTGTCTCTAGGTCTGAAGTGGGTCTCTTGTAGACAGCAAATATATGCGTCTTGTTTTTGTATCCATTCAGCCAATCTGTGTCTTTTGGTGGGAGCATTTAGTCCATTTACGTTTAAGGTAATTATCGATATGTGTGTTCCCATTCCCATTTTTCTTAATTGTTTTGGGTTCGTTGTTGTAGGTCTTTTCCTTCTCTTGTGTTTCTTGCCTAGAGAAGTTCCTTTAGCAGTTGTAGAGCTGGTTTGGTGGTGCTGAACTCTCTCAGCTTTTGCTTGTCTGTAAAGGTTTTAATTTCTCCATCAAATCTGAATGAGATCCTTGTTGGGTAGAGTAATCTTGGTTGCAGGTTTTTCTCCTTCAACACTTTCAATATGTTCTGGCTTGCAGAGTTTCTGCTGAAAGATCAGCTGTTAACCTTATGGGGATTCCCTTGTGTGTTATTTGTTGTTTTTCCCTTGCTGCTTTTAATATGTTTTCTTTGTATTTAATTTTTGACAGTTTGATTAATATGTGTCTTGGCGTATTTCTCCTTGGATTTATCATGTATGGGACTCTCTGTGCTTCCTGGACTTGGTTAACTATTTCCTTTCCCATATTAGGGAAGTTTTCAACTATAATCTCTTCAAATATTTTCTCAGTCCCTTTCTTTTTCTCTTCTTCTTCTGGAACCCCTATAATTCGAATGTTGGTGCGTTTAATGTTGTCCCAGAGGTCTCTGAGACTGTCCTCAGTTCTTTTCATTCTTTTTTCTTTATTCTGCTCTGCAGTTGTTATTTCCACTATTTTATCTTCCAGGTCACTTATCCCTTCTTCTGCCTCAGTTATTCTGCTATTGATCCCATCTAGAGTATTTTTCATTTCATTTATTGTGTTGTTCATCATTGTTTGTTTCATCTTTAGTTCTTCTAGGTCCTTGTTAACTGATTCTTGCATTTTGTCTATTCTATTTCCAAGATTTTGGATCATCTTTACTATCATTATTCTGAATTCTTTTTCAGGTAGACTGCCTATTTCCTCTTCATTTGTTAGGTCTGGTGGGTTTTTATCTTGCTCCTTCATCTGCTGTGTTTTTCTGTCTTTTAATTTTGCTTATCTTACTGTGTTTGGGGTCTCCTTTTTGCAGGCTGAAGGTTCGTAGTTCCTGTCGTTTTTTGTGTCTGTCCCCAGTGGCTAAGGTTGGTTCAGTGGGCTGTGCAGGCTTCCTGGTGGAGGGTACTAGTGCCTGTGTTCTGGGGGATGAGGCTGGATCCCGTCTTTCTGGTGGGCAGGTCCACGTCTGGTGGTGTCTTTTGGGGTGTCTGTAGACTTATTATGATTTTGGGCAGCCTCTCTGCTAATGGGTGGGGTTGTGTTCCTGTCTTGCTAGTTGTTTGGCATAGGATGTCCAGCACTGTAGCTTGCTGGTCGTTGAGTGAAGCTGGGTGCTGGCGTTGAGATGGAGATCTCTGGGAGATTTTCGCTGTTTGATATTATGTGCAGCTGGGAGGCCTCTTGTGGACCAGTGTCCTGAAGTTGGCTCTCCCACCTCAGAGGCACAGCACTGACTCCTGGCTGCAGCACCAAGAGCCTTTCATCCACACGGCTCCTTAATTTCGGATGATTCGTTGTCTATTCATGTATTCCACAGATGTAGGGTACATCAAGTTGATTGTGGAGCTTTAATCCGCTGCTTCTGAGGCTGCTGGGAGAGATTTCCCTTTCTTTTCTTTGTTCTCACAGCTCCCAGGGGCTCAGCTTTGGGTTTGGCCTCGCCTGTGCGTGTAGGTCGCCGGAGGGCATCTGTTCTTTGCTCAGACAGGACGGGGTTAAAGGAGCCGCTGATTCGGGGGCTCTGGTGCACTCAGGCCGGGGGGGTAGGGAGGGTCATGGAGTGTGGGGCGGGCCTGCGGCGTCAGAGGCCAGCGTGACGTTGCACCAGCCTGAGGCGTGCCGTGCATTCTCCTGGGGGAGTTGTCCCTGGATCCCGGGACCCTGGCAGTGGCGGGCTGCACAGGCTGCCCGGAAGGGGGTGTGGATAGTGACCTGTGTTCGCACACAGGCTTCTTGGTGGCGGCAGCAGCGGCCCTAGTGTCACGTCTGTCTCTGGGCTCCGCACTTTTAGCCGCAGCTTGCGCCCGTCTCTGGAGCTCTCTTAAGCAGCGTTCTTAATCCCCTCTCCTCATGCACCAGGAAACAAAGAGGGAAGAAAAAGTCTCTTGCCTCTTCGTCAGGTCCAGACTTTTCCCCGGACTCCCTCCCGGCTAGCCGCGGTGCACTAACGCCCTGCAGGCTGTGTTCAGGCCGCCAACCTCAGTCCTCTCCCTGCGCTCCGACAGAAGCCGTAGCCTCAGCTCCCAGCCCCGCCCGACCCGGCGGGCGAGCAGACAAGCCTCTCGGCTGGTGAGTGCTGGTCGGCCGGATCCTCTGCGCTGGAATCTCTCCGCTTTGCCCTCCGCACCCCTGTTGCTGTGCTCTCCTCCGCGGCTCCCAAGCTCCCCCACTCCGCCACCCGCAGTCTCCGCCCATGAAGGGGCTTCCTAGTGTGTGGACACTTTTCCTCCTTCACAGCTCTCTCCCGCTGGTGCAGGACCCGTCCCTATCCTTTTGTCTCTGTTTAGTTTTTTCTTTTGCCCTAACCAGGTACGTGGGGGGTTCCTTGCCTTTTGGGAGGTCTGAGGTCTTCTGCCAGCGTTCAGTAGGTGCTCCGTAGGAGTTGTTCCATGCATAGATGTATTTCTGGTGTATCTGTGGGGAGGAAGGTGATCTCCGCGTCTTACTCTTCCGCCATCTTCTGAAATTGAATATTTTCATGTGAGTTTTTCAAATGCTTTTGGAAGTTTTCAGTTTTATCTCTTTTTAAATTATGATCTTAATTATACATGATCAGAGGTGTAAAATTTCCGGGCATTTTAAAGCCATGGTATTTTTTCTTAAAATTCCATTCTTGATTTTTGGGCAGGGGGGAATATGGAATTTTAAGAAAAATGAAAATATTTTTAATACTTATGTAGTATAGTCATAAAATATTTCCTACAAAATAACAAATATTTCCCACAAGCTAAGCAAACAATAAGCCATAATAATTAAGAACCACCCAGCTTGCAGCTCTTTTTGTACATGCTGTTCCCTTCTTGGAATGCCCTGCTCAAATTTTAAAAAACAAAAACAACCTTAAGAGCCAATTTCAGTACTTGCTTCTTGCTTCCCCCATTCTATCGACGTGCTTGCTCAGTCCTTGGTGATCTGTAGTGAGACCAATTGAGAAGTTAGAGTTTTTAGTTGTACCCTATACTTTTATGTCTTGTGCCAGTTTGAAAGTTGTTGGGCGAGAGGATTCACAGACATCTTCATGATACTTAAAGGGATAGGGTTTTGCTGAAAAGACCCAAGGCAAGACAGGCTTTTCCAGCAGTGTCTGCCGGGCCCAGATACGTCCTATAACCCTGAACAGATTTTATCATTTTTAACTCTTGTTCTGTTTTACTTTGGGGGGCTGGTTTTTAAGTCAGGAGTGGAAAACCAGCCTTCTGACTGACTTACACTTTAAGGACAGGTTTATCGTATTAACAGGGAATCTAGGATAGGCGGTATCTGGGCTCTGCTGCCCTTCTCCCTTCCTGCTTGTGTTGGCTTCATCCTCAGGCTGGAGATAGGGCAGCTGCAGCTGTTCCAATGTCCCTGCAGACATAGCCATGTTCTGAGGCTATAGGGGATTGTCCCTTCCTGTGTGTCGTGTGTTGTTCCCTCCCCCCATTTCTATACCAGTCGCAGTGAAGGGGAGGGATTCACTTACACTAGTCAGAAGCCGACTCTGGGTTGGGGTGCGGTTGCCCACCTTTTGAGTCAGCTCATGGGGGAGAAATACGGAGCAAAATGCAAGTTCTCATTGGAAGGAGAGGGAGTGTTTGCTGGGCACCCAGCAAGGTCTGCTTTAGTTACCCTGTGTCTACACATACTCTTTGTCTCATACACATACTTTCTTCTTTAACTTTTCCCAACTTATTGAAAAATTTTGAAGATACAGAAAAACTGAAAAAAATAGTACAATAAACCCTTAGCTCAGACTTTTAAAGTTTCAGCATTTTGTTATGTCTGTCTGCTCTCTCTCTCCATCTCTCTGTATGAACACAAAAACACACAGGTTTGGTTTTTGTTTTGTTTGCTAAACCATTTGAAAATTAGTTGCAAACATCCAGACCCTTTACCCCTCATTATTTTAGCACGTCTTCTTCCTTTTTTGGCTGCATTGGGTCTTCGTTGCTGGGCGTGGGCTTCTCATTGCGGTGGCTTCTCTTGTTGTGGAGCACGGGCTCTAGGCGTGTGGGCTTCAGTAGTTGCGGCACGTGGGCCCAAGAGCACGCGGGCTTCAGTAGTTGTGGTGCATGGGCTCAGTAGTTTTGGAGCACGGGCTGTAGGTGCGCAGGCTTCAGTAGTTGTGGCTCACGAGCTCTAGAGCACAGGGTCAGTAGTGTTTAGCACATCTAAACAGAGTCATTCTCCTTTATACCACAGGACCACTAACACATATCCAAGAACCTTAACACTGACTAAAATAGAACCATCTAATAGATGGTCTATATTCAAACTTTGCCAGTTGCGTCCAGATGCCCTTTACAGCTGTTGTTTGTTTTTAATCTAGGAAACAGTCAAGCCTCGTGCATTGTATTTGGTTGACCTAACTCTTTAATATCCTTTAATTTAAACTTCCCCAACTTTAGAGAAGAGATAGGATAATGAACTTTCACTTACTCATCACTCGTCTTCAATAAGCAGAGACTTTTCTCCTCCGTTGTCTTTTATAAGCATTTATGTTTTTAACTTTGTTGGTTTGAAATGGTATCAAGTTAATTCATTGCAATTAAGTCCATAGGTTCCCCGTCTCTTTTTTTTTAAACCATATAAATGTTTGCATGTGTATATGAAGAAATCAGATTATATATTCTGTAGATTTCCTGAACTTTGGACTTTTCTGATTGTCTCCCAGTTGTTTAACATGTTTCTCTGTCCCCTGTATTTCCTGTAAGTTGGTTAGTAGGATCTGAGGGCTTTATTAGACTTGATAAAATTGTAAAAAAAAAATTAAATGTACTTCAAAAGTGGTGTTATCCCTACCTACTGTTTTAATGGGCCCTCAGTTCAGTGACTTTTGCCGGGAAGGGAACCTGAAACAAGTAGGGAAGCACCACTGTAACCTACTTTTTGCTGGAACTCTAGCATCTTACAGCCTGGTTGGAGACATGTTAAGAAGTCGTCATCAATCTCATAAAATCTATAGCTATAAGGAACCATCTCTATCGCAATGATCTACAGGACTGTTCTTAGTAATGTAACTGTATCAGTTCAGAGAACTCAGTTGTAGGCATTTAGTAGGTTTTCCCTGGATGCTAACAGAATGCTTCAGTCAGGGACATGCCAAATAGAAATTAAAATAATTTACTCCCATAGCTAGAAGGCACATTCAAAATTATCATCCCTAGTTCTTTTTGTTTTACAGGAGAGGAATATCTAAAGAAAAATTTTACAGAACATTATTCCCTTAGAGAATCATATCAGTAAATTCAACGGCTTGGGACATAAGTCCATTTAAAATATATTTGGAATCCACACTTCTTTTGTTAGGTAAGGATCATCCGTATGATAACCAGTAGTAACCCTGGGTCTCTCTCGTTTCCAGGAAGTTTGTTTGCCTGAATGACAACATTGACCACAATCATAAAGATGCCCAGACAGTGAAGGCTGTTCTCAGGGACTTCTACGAATCAGTGTTCCCCATCCCATCCCAGTTTGAGCTGCCAAGGGAGTATCGAAACCGTTTCCTTCATATGCATGAGCTGCAGGAATGGTAAGTTTTCCTGTTTCATATATGTACATATGTGTATTTTTTCTTTTTTTAGAGTGATGAAATTTCTTTACTGTGTTATTTGCTTTCTTTGTAAAGTACACGCATAGTTTTTATTGAGCTCACTGGCTGAGCACACTTTCTGAGCCTTATTTGTCATCACTGCCATCAAAGTGGCCGCCCTGTTTCTTGAGTACCCGCTGGGCAGTATATTTACTCTTTACAATGAAAGGTGCTACTCTTGTTGCCACGTTACAGGTGAGAGCACAGTAACAGAAGTGAGTGATTTGCTCAAGGTGGAGTAGCTGACAAGTGGCAAGTCCAGCCCGATTCCTGACCCTCCGCACGTTCGTTCCACTGTATTCCAAAGCTGCTTTAGAATGTTTCCTTCTTTGATTTTTACTACCAACACTTCATTAGAAAGATCATTTTATCTTTCAATTTAGGGAAATTTTTGACCCCTTGCCTGCCCGCCACACCAGGCACTAGGAACAGGGGCAAAGCCTCGGAGATACTGCGGGTTCGGTTCCAGACCACTGCCGTCCCCAGTTCACATGAAAGTTATGTTCAGACTATGTCATAGTCTATTAAATGTGCACTAGCATTATATCTAAAAAAAAGTACATTCCTTAATTTAAAAATATTTGCTAAAAATGCTAAGCATCATCTGAGCCTTCAGCAAGTTGTAGTAATATCAAAGGTCATTGATCGTAGATCACCGTGACAAACATAATAATGAAGAAGTTTGAAATATTGCAAGAATTACCAAGATGTGATACAGAAATACGAAGTGAGCAAATGCTGTTGGGAAAATGGTGCCGACAGACTTGCTTGACCCAGGGCTGTGCAGTGCGGTAAAGTGAGGCCAGTCAGGTGTGGTATCGCCTGTTCAGGACGGAAGGGACACTGCGCCGGCCTCCACCAGAAGCCAGCGAACCAGCCGTGACGCAGAGGACATGACTAGATAGGCTTCAGTGCTCTCAGAGTACAGAGGAGGAAGCAGCTAGTTCCATGACAGGACGGTGACATTTGGACTTGGTTTTGAATTATGAAAAGGACTTTTCCAGAAGACAGTGCTGTGGAGAGGGAAAGGAGAAATTGTGAAGGGCTGTATCTGAGTTAGACATCTTTCTTTAGAGAATAGCGGTTCCCAGGAGAGACTTTTTTAGATGTCTGTCTCATCAGAGTTCATGATTTGGAAAGATAACTTAACAGTGCTTGCGGGGTGGACTGGTGAGGAAGGCGTCTGGAGTAAGGCAGTGTTGTCTGGGAACTTGAGGCAGAGAGACAAGCAGTAAGCATTTCACTTGTCCTGGAAACAGATGGTCAAGGTGTGAACCAAGGACATGGCCCAGGGAATAAAGAGAAGCAGTAGATACAATTGGCAGAGATTTGAGAGAGGAAATTAGCAGACCTTGGCAGCTAGAGCTCTTTGGTGTCTTGCAGTTGGGTAAGTGAGACAATTAGCACGTGTATTGCTACTATGTACCTATTTTTATTTTCATAAGGAGAAGTTGTTACTAAATAACTTGTCTTCTAGCAATGGCAAGGAACGGCTTCTCACCATTTTCACTTTGCCTTAGCTCAGAGGAAAAAGAACTTTGGACAGTTCCAGCTGTCAGTGCCCACCAATCCAGTTCATGACTAAATTCACCTTCAAGGGCCTACTGAATAAGGAAGGAGTGGGTTTACGAGTAGCTGGAGGGGGCTTTGAGTTCTGTGTTGTACAGATGAGGTGAATCAGGTGCAGGTTGCTGATCCGGGGGCTTCCTTTTCCTCAGCCGCCCTGCTTCTGTGTCATCTCTCACTGCTGACCCACCAATGCCGCCCTGCTTTCTGTTGGGCTGGCCAAAAAGTTCCTTCTGGTTTTTCCACATTACGGAAGAAAACCTGAACGAGCTTTTTGGCCAACCCGATAGAAACGTCTTCCTTTGCTTTCCTTTCGTGATCCTGCACTCCTGAGTCCCCGTCATCTTCCCCTGGTTTCCTGCAGTGGCTTTCTTCCTGTCCCTTTCTTGGGAAGAGCAGCTTCTGCACTTAGAGCAGTCCATGTGGTGTGCTTGTCGCTCCTTGTAGACTGTGAGCCCTCGTCGGGGCAGAGACTGGCTCTCCCTGTCCGAGTCCACTTGCATCCGTGGTGCACAGTAGGTGCTCAGTGCATGGCTGGCTGAGGGGAGCTCAGCTCCCGTTACAGGGTTCTCTGGTCACTGGGGCAACTCATTAGCTGTGTCACAGCCTGTGGCTTCTTAGCTCTTCAAATTACACACAGATTCTGAATGATACTGTAGACTTAGAACTCACTGAGCTGGTTTTTGATCCTCTTAACGTAGGAAACACAGGAGGAAGAACAGTGCGGGGCAGGGTACCATTTGGAATATGTGACTCAGAGTAGAGACACCCGCTACCAGGCAGGTGTGAATAAGCCTGGAACTCAGCAGAGGCCTAAACCTGGCAGTTGTTAGCATAGCATATCTTCTAAGCCTTATGTTAAGCATTTATTTAATCTTCATAACAAATTATTATTTCCAAATTACAGGTGATGAAACTGCTGTACTCCCATTTATCTCCTAGGCCAGTTGATCCCACCCTCAGGATGTCTCTTCTGTTGCTTCATTCCTTCCATTCTCACTGCCCTAGTACAGCCCTCATTCTTTTCTCTGCCCAGACTGACCGGATTGCCTGCCTCTGGCCACCTGCTTTGACATCCATCCTTCACACGGCCGCCATTTGCACCCCGATTGTGACACACACACACGCACTTCCCACAGAGTATTATGTCCAAATGCTATTGCATGGTTTTCCCGAACAGCTGCAGTTTACACCTACCTGCTTCTCCTCGGCCGAGTGTCCCTCGTGCCTCCGTGCAGACTGGGCTCAGTTGAGCAGGACGCAGCTTGCAGCGGCTGCTGACGCTCATCCCCTTTCTCAGCCACAGGCTCTCCTTCCCCACGTCAAGGCTCAAATGGAGTGTCCCCATCTCTGTGGTGCTTTCCCATCTCTGTGGTGCTTTCCTCATTTCACTGTTTTTCCACAAGACTCTGCTTTTGATAACAGATATTTCTGTCCACGTGTGTGATGGCTAGTTGTCTGCACGTCAGCGCCTCCCCAGGTTTGCAGATACTTTAGAGCAGGGACTTCTCCTTGTCGCCTTGCTGTATCCACAGGAGGTGTCGGTTGGGTGACTGAGCAAATACAAATGAATGGAAGAGGGGATTTTGTTTAATTTGTTAAAAATTCTTATTTTCTTTTGAAGTCCTCTCCCCTGCCTGGGTAACTTTTACTAATTCCAATATTTACTATAACAATGAAAATCTGAACTCAGGTGGGAAATGTATAATTATGTTAACATTTTAGAATTGCCTCCAGACATTGTTTTTGCTAAACTAGTAGCTTTACTAAGTAATGATAGTTAAACCCTACACATAACTACATATTTTCCTTCTTTTCTCTCTGAACAGGAGGGTGTATCGAGACAAATTGAAGTTTTGGACTCATTGTGTGCTAGCAACATTGATTATATTTACTGTATTCTCATTTTTTGCTGAACAGGTAAGTGTTATATATTTTATGTGGATGTCAAACAGTATTTCTTGGTATCATTAATCTGATTTTTTTAAGAAAATGATATAAATTCATAAGAAGAAAATGTTTATTTCTCCTGTTGGCTTATACTCACGTTAAATATTTCATAATATTCAGGCAACAGTCATGATCGCCTTTTTTCCCATTTATCCTCTAATCTATAACCAGTATCCTTTGTACCTGGAGCTCAATAAACAGAGCTTTTCAGTTTTAGCCTGAAGTCTGCAAGTCAGACTATTTAAACCAAAAAAACCACCTCGAATCTGCATCTGACACTAATTTTCTGTTAATCTTTCCAAACTAGTGGCCACAGCATCTTATCTTCAGGCCTCCCCCTGTTCTGCTGACGGTGCCTGGCTCGGGCACACGGCCCGTCTCCCACTTACATTTCCTCTGAGCTGCTGGGAGTTCATCCCCACACAGGCGCACACACAGCCACCTCCCAGAAGTCAGAGGGAGATTTGTGAGGTCAAAAGAAAGGGATAAGAGAGTCCTCATTAGGCCACAGCAGGTGTGAGATGCTCTGAAAAGAAAGGATTCGGAAGGAAGGGACGGGTGTCTGGGCTGACCGACTTGTGCCGGGCAGGCGAACCTGCCTCAGCCTCATTCCAGGTGACTCTCAAGTGGAGCTTTTCTGGCTGTCAGGATGGGAAGCTTACAGAGTTTACTTACAATGAGGAGGCCGGGCGCGGGGCGGCGGCCGAGAACTGAGAGCTTTAGGGTAAATAGCCCTGGGCTTCGTGCTGCAGATGGAAGGAAACTCAGGAAATGAAGGTCTGACAGGCGAGCAGGACTGCAATTTAACCTTCATCCACTTCCCACGGAATAGAAACCTTCCTCTTGGTCTTGTTGCCATTGTTCTTGGCAAGTAAAAATCTTAGGAAAAAAATCTTAAACAGATTGTACCTGCTTTTAGAACGGAGGTCCAGCGAGGAACCTGTGAGTCAGCTGTGTGCTGGCCTGCGATGGGGGAGGAGAGGGACACTGGCTGAAAGGAGCAGCTGGCGGCCATGGAAGGAACAGGAGGGTCTTTCTCCGCTGTCGTTTATACCTGCAGAGAATAGGGGACCAGAGAGGCAGGGCGAGAGGAAGGGAAGAGTAAATCCCCTCTCCTCCCCGACACCCTGCTCTTCACCTGCCTGAATCGAATTCCTTAACTCCTGCACACTCCCACACAAGCCAGGGCTGCCTCTTCCGCTGCCCCAGAATCCCAGCTCGTCATCCAGACCAGGGTGGTCCGGGCAAAGTTCTGCTTTCACCTCAAGATGGAGCAGTAGAAATTGAAACTTTCTTGTAAAGGTGGTCAGGTTTTCTATTTCAGATGTATCATGGATAAACTGTTTCTATTAGAAGTATTTATCCAAGTTCTAAGCTGCTAAGTTATAAATGAACTTTTGTATTTCAACCCATTCATGAACTTGAAAATACAGGCAATGCCCAGTGATTATTGCTGTGGTCACTAAGTATAGGAAAAAAAGTGGTGATAGAATTCTTAAAATTAGAATTCCAACTTACACATGTAGTCATTTTCAAACCCAGAGACAACATCTTAATGGCTGAAGAGTCCATTTCCTTCAGTAGAAAGACTTGACAGACACTGTGAAAATAAATATACGTGGTAATTGCTATGTAAAAATCTGTAGTTTTTATAGGTCTTAAAAAAATGAAACTTGGACAAAAGTAACTTTAACCAAAACCAAACAAAATCTGTGGTTGATTTCGTTTTGAGGGGAGGAATGATGTTTGCTGTCTGTTTTTTATGTATAGGACTGTGGAAAAGATTAAGGTCCTAGGACCCTCAGAAAGAAAGTTAAAGTTTGTCAACCTGGAGAATTAAAATTTATTTTCTGTCTTTCATCCTTTAGTTAATTGCACTTAAGCGGAAGATATTTCCCAGGAGGAGGATACACAAAGAAGCCAGTCCTGACCGAATCAAGGTATAAAGGATCTTCATCTGAAAATCTACCTCAGCATTCACTGAGCATTTTAAAACTCGACATCAGAGATGTCTTCATGATGTAATGCTTAGCCAGCTTGGCCTGAAGAAGGAATACCATCCAGTGTAATACTTGGTTTCTGGAATGAATGTAGCCTACTGACCAGGAATTGCTTAACCAACACACGGGAAATGTGTGTGTTGAGCAGCTCTGGTTTTACTTTTAAAGCATCTGCTCGTGGACCGATCTTTCTTTTAATGAAAAGCCTCGCTGATGAGAGACAGCAATGGTTGCTATGGCAACTGAGCAGCTAACTAATATGAGAAGCCTCAGCCAGCTTGAGTGCTATTGCTAAGAGTCCCCAGTCTTGCATTCCAAAGCTTTTTGCTGTGGTTTTACATTTTGGGGTTTTTTTTGTTTGTTTGGTTTTTCCATTTCTCATTTCTAAAGTAAGTACATACTAAGTTAACTAAGTTATCCTTGCTTTTGCAAACAGTGAATCGGGATGTGTAAACATGTTTTTATAGATGTTATTTAACTAATGCAGCAGCAATATCATGTCCTATTGGCAGTACCTAAATTATGGATTTTATTAACATTTAAAACAATGGGATCTTAACGCACTTACCATTATTTATGAGCTCAGTGACTGACATCTGAGACTTTGTGCTTGTTTTCTTCAGCCCCTAAGAATACTGTGATTTCATGTGGAGGCCTGATTACAAAGGGCTAGAGTTAAGTAGCTGAGCTACTTGCCAGATGTAATTATGTTTTGAAGATGTACATATTCAAAAAGAAGTGCCTCATTTTAGAGACGAGTAGTGCTGGTGGTCGTGGCCCGTAACAGTGGTGTCTTCTTTAATACCCATCAGTATATTCCAGTAGCTGGCTCTCAATCAGTTTCACACAATGAAGGGTCAGGAAACTTTTTCTGTAAAAAAGCCACATGGTAAATATTTGCAGGCCACCTGTGTCTATGTTGCATATTCTTTGTTTAGTTTAGCTTTTGTTTTTAACAATCCTTTAAAAATGTCAAAACCATGTCTAAGTCGAAGATGTACAAAAACAGGCCACCAGCTGGATTCGGGCCATAGGCCATTGGTCTGTGACCACTGGGATAGAGAATTAGTATTTTTACGTGTGGGTAAGCCCTGATGTTCAGCCATGCTTTATTTATGTCATTGTACTGTGGACTTTATGTGTCCTTTTTGAACTCTGACAGGCATTTTAGATCATGATCTTAACAGTATTCTTTCAAAATGGCATACATATTTTGTAAAAAGAACTTGTAAATAACTGTGTTTGTGCTGTAAGAGTTATGTATTTCAAAAACTGAAGTCTCATAAAAACTTAAATTTTATCTGCTGCTTTGATTTTTAATCTTTGAGGAGTGAGTTCGTTATCCAGATTCAGAAATCACTTTGAGTGCTTACATGGAATGTCAGGATCTGTCCTTAACACAACTGAAATTAAGTGGAAAGCAGTGTAAGGAGAGGGTGGTAATATTACAGCCTGGAGAATGTCACTGTATGGGGGAAAATAAGTTCTAAATGGGATTTATGTGGTAAAAATTTAGGGGTTATCTGGGTATCATTCTTAACATGAAGAATTCTAGAAAAGTTAAAGAAATGAATATTTGGGTGTGATGGAGATTTCTGGTCAGGTGAATACAATCCACACCTTATTCAGAGCTTAATAGATAATGAGATGGATAACAGAATCAGAATGTTCATGGAATCATTTATCTAATGATTCAGTAGAATCATTAGAACGAAAGAACCTCAGAAGTTGATGAGTCGTCAAATGGTCTTCCAGAATTTTAAAGCCTCAGAACCAATAGTCCAAATGAAACCCTCTGGAAGACCAGTATGTAACACAGAAGAGGGAAAGCTGCTCACCCTACCTGACCCCAAGGCAGTACCTCCAAAACTCCCAGGCTTCACAGGCAGTTTCAAAGCCCCACATCTTGTATGTTATCATCGAGGACACTAGGGTCAGGAAGATTACGTGATTTGTCCAAGGTCTCACAGCCAGCTGGGGGCAGAGGTGGGCTGGAGCCCAGCTTGTCTCTTTCTCTAGTCCCCTCCAGGCCATGCCGCCTCCCCAGGACACAGTGGCATGTGCACGTGAAAAGCACACTCTCTGCGGTCCAACTTACGGGGTTTGAGTCCTCGCTCCTAGACATTGATTGCCAAGATTCAGCTTTCTCTTCTAAAACGTAGGAGGCAATACTGGTGTCTGCCTACCTCATAGGCTTCTGGTGAGGATGGAAGAAATGACATGCAACATACCCAGCACAGTGCCTGGCAAATACTCCTGCCTGATAAATGTCAGTGGTGAGGATGATAGTGAGGAAAGTATGTAAAGGATTGTTATCCAGGTCAGGGGTGAGGTTTCCAGTGTAGTCTTTAGGGTGAAATTATTACATTGCTTTTAGCTAAGAAAGTGACACATTTTCTAATTAAAAATATTTTTTGCCTACTTTTTCTTAAAGTGTTTATTTTTAAAACTGTTTCTACATACACCAAAAAGCATACAGATAATGATCAAGGGTTTAAAAGTAAAATGTGATTGCAGCTTAGGTCAGAACATTTATGGAAGGAATAGCACTAATCCCCCAGAATTCTTCCAGAGCATGGAAAACAGAAGGAAAACATTGTCTCATTTTTCCGTCAAGGTCAACACAACCCCACACCAAAGCCTGGTTCAGTTGCCACAAGAAAGGAAAAACCATAGGCCAGTCTACCTCATGGGAATCCCAAACGAAACACTAGCAAGCCACGTTAGTTCGTTCTCCAAAGGAGCAACACTTTATGATCAGGCTGGGCCCATTCCAGGATTGCAGGTTGGCCCAACACTTGAAAAGCACTGCAAATCACATCCGGGGGACCAAAAAGGGAAACTGCAAGAAGGATTCCCACGTGGTTGGGTAGGATAGGAAGAAAAACATCGGCTCGGAAACAAAACAGAACAAAACAAAAAGCCCCAGAATTCCCTGGTGGTCCAGTGGTTAGGATTCCATGCTTTCACTGCCAAGGGCCCGGGTTCAATCCCTGGTCAGGGAACTAGGATCTCACAAGCTGCTCAGCACAGTTAAAAAATAAAACAGCATTGAGTCGAGACCTGTGCCCCTGAGAGGGGACTCACAGGGGAGGGGAGGGGAAATCGCAAGGGCAGAGACTTGCCCCGAGGAGTGAGTGTCTTGAGCCACAGACTGGGCCTCCCATGCAGAGGAGAGAAGCCTAGACCCCACTCGTGAGAAGTACACGGGTGCTGGCTCATCCCCAGACAGGGTGGAGAGAGGTCTGCCCTAGTGGCTGCTGTCTTACTGCACGCCCCATTTGAGCTGAATGAACACCTCACTCCACACCACAGCTGGTACTGGATCTAGCGCAGCCAGGTCCTGGGAAAAGACTTGATTTAGGATGCAGAAGTGGCTGGGAGGCCTGGGGTATGATCCAGGTGGGATGGCAGAGGCCACTGGCATTTACTCAGACAGTGTCACAGAAGCAGCCCAGACTTCTGACAGCAGCCCAGCTGCTTCAGTGCCCACAACCAGAATGCCATGAGCCCCAGCCAAGCAAACACTTGAGCCCTGCCCATTCCACACCACAACATTGCACTAGATGTGGGACAACCACAACAAGGGAAAAGATGCGGCCTTAGGCTACATCTGAGTGGAGCTGCAGACACCTGTATAGGCAGTGCATGGAACCTCTCTAAGTACACGAGCCCCACTTACTTCTGCACTACCCTCCTTGGGGCAAAGGCCCCAATGCAGGGAGAAGGAAAAAAACACAAAGGGAGCAGAGCCAGCTCAAGCCTGACCCTCAGGGCATCCACTCCAGCCACTTGGGAGCAGGCCCTGCCCCTGCCACTGAGCAGAGAAGAAGTCCGCCTCACACCCTGTGCAGACTCTAGCTCTAGCAACACCAGACACACCCCCTATCAAAGTGGCAGTGGACAGCACACCCTGAGGAAAGATGTGGCTGACATCCACATCATATCCAGCCCTCCCATCAAAGACACTGGACACATGCAGTCTACACAGGGATGCTCCTACGTAAAAACACCCCTTCAAGACAGTAGATAACTGTTAAACCTAAATTCATAGAGACAGAGAAAGTTAAGTAAAATGAAAAGGCAGAGGAACTACTCTCAGTTGAAAGAGCAAGAGAAAACCCCTGAAAAAATAATGCAACAGAGATAATCAGTCTACCAGACAATGAATTCAAGAAGTTGGTAATAAAAATGCTAACTTAAGAGAATCAGTCTAAGCACAGATCATCTTAATAAGGAACCAGAAACTTAGGACTTAATAAAAAAATAGATAATTCAATTTCTGAGAAAAAAAGCACTCTAGAAGCAGTGAATAGACAACTAACTGACAGAGAAGAACACAAGTGATCTGGAAGACTGAATAATGGAAATCACCCAATCGGAAGAGCAGAGAGACAAAACAAACAAAAACAATGAAAGCAACATACAAGATCTATGGGATAGTATAAAACGTACCAACTTTCACATTATAGGGGTTCCAGAAGGAGAAGAGAGAGAGAGAAGGGGATTGAAAATGTATTTGAAGAAATTATGGCTGAAAAATTCCCAAACCTAAAGAAGGAAACAGATATCCAGGTTCAGAAAGCACAGAAAGTCCCCAAGAAGATGAACGCAAACAGACCCACACCAAGACATATCATAATTAAAATGGCAAAAGTCAGAGAATTCTAAAGGCATCAAGAGAAAAAAAAAGAAT